ATCTAATAAATCCCCTTTTATAATCATTCTTATATATACATATATGTATCTCCTGTTGGTTCTGTTCCTTCTAGAGAACTCTGACTAATACAGGCCCTGTGGCAGGGGGAACTATAAGGACTTAACAGAGTTCACCCTTTCCCAGTCATCTGTATATATGGATAACCATATGGGAGACCTGTCATACACTGAGCCCTTCAAGGTAGGTTGTGGGAGAAAATATCAACCAAACCTGGGTTTTATTTTGTTCAATTTTTTGGTACCGGGGATTGAACACAGGGGCACTTAACCACCAAGCCACATCCGCAGCCCTTTTTTGTATTTTATTTAGAGACAGCGTTGCTTAGCGCCTTGCATTGCTGACGCTGGATTTGAACTCACGATCCTCCTGCCCCAGCATCCAGAGCCTGGGTTTTGTTTTTTGGAATCTCAGGGATTGAACCTAGAGCTATGTGTATACTAGACAAATGCTCTACTATTGAACTACATCTCCCAACCACTCAGCAGTATTTTTTTTTTTTTTTAATGTTCGGGAATGTGATGGGGATTGCCCTTTGATGTAGTAAAAGCACTCCTTGAAATTTAATAATGACAAAAAAGTAAGTAACAGTTCAAAAGGGGAATTTAGGCTCTGTTCATGAGAACAGTTACTATACAGTCTAATAGCAAAAAGTTTGGAAATCATGGTCACAGGACTTTGCCACAGAGGCCCTTACACAGCCTTTGGAAACAAAAAATTCCAAAGTCCTGATCATTTGAGCCTGACATACTAAGATGATTTCTAACTTTCTTTAATGTTATAATGTTTTAATAAACAAAATCCATCAGCAGCAACAAATTTATTAATTACTTGATACTGTACATTTGAGAGAATCTGGGACTGATGAGCTCTACACCTTGGCTATGGCCAGGACACAAAATTGCATCTTTATAAATGTGGCTATTTTTCCTCATGTAGTTCCCTTAATTTATGTTCACAATGGATTTTAGTAAATATGCAATCTGGGGTTTTTGTTGTTGTCCTTTGTTTTTTAATACTGTCCCACCCCAGGACATCCTCCAGAAAGCAATTTTCAGTCAGAATTGTATTGACTGTCTTGAGATGAAAAACTGACAAAATTCCCATCAAATAAAAGATATGCCATTACCCAACCTGAAATGCAAATACCTCAATTTGCCTTTGAGCTACCTAAGAAAGCATCTTATTTTAACCTCCTAATTCTTATACTTCCTAAAATTCCCAAATAAGTCAGAGGTGATATGGTTAAGATTTCAAAATCAATAGAGCTTAAAAACTGGGGAAGGTAGGGGGTAATAGTGGAGATTAAACCCAGGGGAGCTTTACCCCTGAACTATTTCCCGAGTTCTTTTTATTATTTTGAGACAGGACCTCACTAAATGGCTGAGAATGGCCTCAAATTTGTCAAATTTGGGATACTCCTGCCTCAGCTTCCCTAGTCACTGGAATTATAGGCATGTGCCACTATGCCTGGTTAACAAAGCTAAAATTCTAATTTAACATCTCCTATTACCTATCTTATGTTATACAAAGTCCTAAACAAAGCATTGTCAGGTAAACTGGGCATGGAGGGACTCAATAAAGGGATATGAAGCAACCAGAGGTTTCTGAAGGGTCTTTCTGGAACGGACTTGTCTTTGAGAAGCCTATCCCCTAGTTCAGTCAGTGGAGGAGTGCAGCACCACAAGGGACCTACAAGCTTAGGAACAGCCCATGAAGAAAGTAAAAACCCTTCTAATCAAGTTTGTCACTCCAGCACTGAAAAAACTGACCCACAAGATACTAGGCTGCCTAACGACCAGAAAAACATCTTGATCTGGACAACTTCACTATTTAAAAAGTCTTGTCCTATCCAAGGCCTGTTCCCACATCATAGTCTTTACTATAGTATGCCCATATCATCCCAAGAGCAAAACTCTACTTTCAACCACATTGATTAAAAAATAATAAGCAAAAGGTCTACATACACTACACATATTTCATTAAATAGCATCTGGGAGCTAAAAACCAATATGTTCTCACAGAATTCACACTTGGGGAGGAAGGGGGATAATATAAGTCAATTGTTCAAATCAACTTTTTCTACAAAATGTGAACATTTATTGTTTGATAAAAACACTGTTGACATTGTCCCCAATAAGAGATAAGTCTGGGTTTTGTTCTGAAAAGATATAATCTATGCAATTGCACTGATTAATTTTCATAATAATTCAGATTAGTGTTACTATCAAATGACATTCCACTTAAAAATTTAAATCATCAGCAAGTAAACTACATTTAATTAAAATATATAATTATGATGGAGGGGCAACATTTCAATCACATTTCCTTAGAGACAGAAAATATTAATCAGCAATAATGACAGTTAACATTTATTACACACCAATTAAATATCTAATGAGATAGCTGCTGATTTTTATATGTTATCTCATTCTCTTAATCTTTCAAGAGAGGTACCGGCTCATTTTCCAGACAAACCTCAGGCTTATGGTTGACTTTTATTATGAGTGGTACTGTTAGAGCTGGTTGTAGTAGCTATGGGAGATTTTTTTTTTTTTACCATTAAGATGACACATGTAAGTCTCACACATGTTTGACCACCTGGGGAATTTTATTAAAATGCAGATTATGATTCAGAAGGTCAAGGTAAATGAAGCCCCTGATTCCAAGAAGCTCTCAATCTCAAGGGGATTGAACTTTGGGGCACTTTACCACTGAGCTACATCCCAGGCCTTTTTATTTTTGAGACAGGGTCTTGCTAAATTGCTGAGGCTGGCCCTGAAGCTGTAATCCTTCTATCTCAGCCTCCCAAATCACTGGGATTACAGGCATAAACAGCACACCCAGACAAAAACCCAGATTTTTATCAAGGCTGAGCATCCAAGTACACCAAGACCACCAAGTCACCACACCCTTCAAGTAGGTAGGTCCCTTTCTCTCTCTCTCTCTCTCTCTTTCATATATATATATAGTTGTAGGTGGACACAATACCTTTATTTTATTTTTATGTGGTGCTGAGGATAGAATACATGCTAGGTGAGCACCCATACCACTGAGCCACAACCCCAGCCTGCTGGCTATCTCTTGATGTTTAAATTCTAAAGAACAGGGCTGGGGATGTGGCTCAAGCGATAGCGCGCTCGCCTGGCATGCGTGCGGCCGGGGATCGATCCTCAGCACCACATACAAAGATGTTGTGTCCGCCGAAAACTAAAAAAAAAAAAAAATATTAAAAAATTCTCTCTCTCTCTAAAAAAAATAAATAAATAAATTCTAAAGAACAGACAAATTGCAGAGGTAGGAGAGATTTTAGGGGCTGAGCCCCAAAGTTCTTCCAGATTAAAGCCCCCAAAACCACAATAGTACTTTTCTGAAAGGTAAATAAATACCATTGGCTTCCATTCCTGGCCATAGGTGAAATGTCCCACTAATGAGCTGATAATGCACACTCTGTACAAACTACTGAATTTCAATTATTTTACCAGATCTGTTGAGTGGCAAGTTAGTTTTCCATTGGCAAGTTCTATTTACTTTCAAAGGCCCACAGAGTAAACAAAGCAAGGTACTTGACAAGGTATTGTATTCCAACCAGGTCCAAGTTCAGTCCTACTGGGCCTTTTCTTATTCGTTTCTGATTATCTGTACTGTATTCAAACACTGGCTAGCTGCTGCTTTTAAGAAGTGATTATATAGCTCCTCCCCACCTCCTACATTCTCTTTGCTAACAGCAATGATACCTAACTACAAAACCAATATACCTTTGAGAACATTCTGGTTTACTAGATTAAGTTCAGTTTAAAAGTCTAGACAGATAACCTACTCCATTTATCTTTCTTTAAAATTCTTCAAAAATACCCCCAGCAATCATCAGAACAAGCCTCTCATCCATGACAGAGATAAAACAGTCTGTAATTCTGTGATTTACAAACACTGGGACCTTTATTTAAAGGGTGTTCACACATGATATTATTCCCAAAGAATGTTTATGTATGCACCCAAGTAAGTAAGCACAGGAGGACCAATGCTTAAAGCAATGAAATACTCATACATTGCAGTTCCATACAAATGGCTTTTGAGGCTAGGGAGGTCTACCTGTGTAGAGGAGTATGTGGGACACACAGGTTTTTCAAGCTGCAGTATGCCTTGTCCACAATTGAGCTAAGCAACAGCCCAAAGAGGCCTGTCTAACAGGAACAGAACTGACAGACCCATCCCCTGAACACCATGAGGCTAAAAATCAGGACCCTGAGAAATGAGTTCTATTATGCACAAGTCCAAAAGAAAGTTCCCTGTTTCTGTTACCTCCAAAACTGGCTGCCCTACTGGAGTGAATTAACTCTGGGTATCAACTGGGCAGTGCCAGACATCGGTGTTGGGCAGAGGATTCCGAGATGCAGTGGACTCAAACCTCTGCAGTAGAAACTGGAGACAGTAGGGAGATCTAGGCTCTCCACTGCATTTGGGCTACATGCCTCCCATTCAACAAATATTTACTGAGCGTCCACCATACACTAGGCACCCTTCTAGGCGCCAGGGAAGAAAGCAAGCAGCAGTCCTCAGTCTCCAGAGGCCGAGGCAAAGACCGTACGGTGGCTGAACGGGGCCCCTAAAACCTGCCACAGGTTGCTAAGTCAGAAAACCGCAAGATCCCTGGCGCCAGGCTCCACACATCACCAAGTCCAGTAATGAAGGCGGGAGTGGACAGGTAGGCCCGGGGACAGGTATGCAGGTAGACGACACACCTGAGGCTACCAGTTTGGGGAGGGCAGGCTCTAGCCGTGGGCCAAAGAACGGGGTAAGGGAGGACGGCCTGGGAACCCTGCCCGAGAGAGGGGTACGAGAAGCAGGGGCTCTGGCCCCGGGACGCGGCAGAGGCCGGCGGGGCCTGCGCCCCCGCAGCGGGAGTGGGAGCGGGGCGCGCGGAGGGAAGACGCGCGGCTAGGCCGCCGGCCCCGCACCTGGGGCCCCGCCCGGCACCTACCACTTGGGCGACCTTGAGGCGGCCGAGCGTGCCGCGCAGGTAGTCGGGGTCGCAGCGCAGGCCGGCCAGCCCGCGGCGCTGGCTCACCGGCTCGGTGGTGGGCTGGTACGGACTGCTGGCGCCCGAGATCATGGAGGTGCTCGAGGCCTCGCCCTCGAAGCCGTCCAGCTCCTCGCCGCTCCGCATGCTGCCGCCCGACCCGGGCCGCCTCGCGCGGCGGGCCCCTGGCGCCAGGAGCGGGCGGGCTCAGCGGGGACGCCGCATCGCCGCCGCCGCCGCCGCCGCTGCCGCCCGA